TAGCTCAAACACATTCTGAAACTGCAATTTTCGCTTTCTACTATCTAGCGAATCAGAATATCTCACTAATGCTGGAGTAACGGAATTTCAGAAAATTTTGGTGCAAGAATTAGGCATCAACCTAATATGTGTAAGGCTCCTCATTTAAGAGAATCAAGGTTTTTAGAGGAGCTTTATCCTGGTCTCACAACATTTTTGGCATTTAACGCTATGGCAGCTATCGGGTCAACCACTGCGAGCTTTATACAGTTTGTGAGTAATGTTTTTTGACCCTAATCTCAAAGCCTCACAATTCATTTTAGCCGGGACCTCGCACATTGATATATCCTGTACTAGCTCGTCTTCTATTTATTCCATACTTTATGCTATGTAACTACAATGTAGAAGACCGCGTAATGCCAGTGGTGTTCAAGAACGAGTGGTGGTTTATCATTGGCAATATCATAATGGCTTTTACTAGCGGATATTTCAGTTCATTAGGAATGATGTATGCGCCAAGGTAAACAAGATTACAATTATACACTAACTTTTGCGAAAGTAATCACATCGAGGTTGTGCCGGGATACTGCAATAGCTTAAAATTAATTTTTTCAGGGTAGTTGAAAGCAAATTCTCGAAAACGGCAGGAATGGCAGCCGGACTGTGTTTAGTGATAGGTATGCAATCCTCAACTTCAACTTTGAGGTCAGCTTCAATCAAAATTACAGGTTTGATGATTGGTGTGTCATTTACACCAGCAATCACTGCGATGGTGAACAATATCAGTTAAACTGTACACAGTTTTCTGAGAGATATTACGTTGTTCTTGATCTAAGGGTATTAATTATTTACCCCATTGTTTGCGCCACATATGCTTGGGATTCCTTTGAAAAACATATTGAGTTGTATGATTCGCACAATCAAAAACAAAAGTTGAAAATTGGTGTGCCAGTATATTGATGTACATTGTTTCTGCACAAGATAAAAGACTATGAAAATAAGCTGTCTTTAATGCGAATATGGTTATGTTTGAGCAATATCATTTAACAAATCTGTTCATAAGCATACGGACACATTGCTGATCATAAAAAGCTCAATATTGGCATGTGAATTTAGAAAACAGCAAAAAGTTCTCTTCACTGCTGTAAAGCATACTTTGGAGCGGATAAACAAAGCAGATTTCTAGCCTAATTTCGCTTTGCGAAGGGAATTTCAACATCGTGCAGCATGCTAGAGAAAAAACTAAAATGTATTTTAGCGAACTGAAACTACTTTCAGAGTTGTTCGCCGCAGCGACGTGCCGTAGTTTCAACCAGTCGATAGTGCGCGCGTCCGGCGCAGGTGGACTGGCATTGCATTAGCACGGTACTGGCACATAGACAACTCTAAACGTGGCTGAGAACTCCTGGGCCCGTAGTAAACATTCGAAATATGTCGTAGTGTAAAGAAATTAGTCGGTCACGACGTGGTCGAGTCGATTGAAGGACACGCTGCTCACGATCATGCTTTGGTCACCGCAAAATTCGCATGCGCGGTCGAACCATTAGATGACCGTTGGTAGCGCGCACTGCCACTGCGCTTTAGTCAACGGTTGCTGTGAGTATCAACGAAAAGATGTAGCCAGGACAGAATGGATAGCGATCAGTTTAATGTGAAAGGATAGGCAGATTCCATTTGCGCTGGATCTTGCACAAGGGACTTGTAAGAGCTACCCCTAAGATGTCTGATGTGAGGAACAAAAACCAAGACTTCTATGCACCATCGAACGTAGCGCAGCGTCACTGTCGCATCCGAGCTAGACGTCGCGCACACAGGTGCCCCTGATGCAATCTATTCGGGGTAGGAAGTATGATCGAACTGGAAAGTACACTTCAGATCTCAACATTTCTAAAGTATTCAAGAACATCAAAATTCTGGAATTACGCAAAAACATTGTTAAAAAACAGACAAATAATGACTTATTGAAATATGCAATCATGTGCCGCACCACGCACCAATTATCTCGTGCTCAGTAGAAGAAAAACATCTAGGCACAACCAATGGAGGTGATTAAAACAGCATTCAAGCAATTGCGACCGAAGAATGCAAAAAATTGAGAAACTGACCTGCAACTTATAGCAAGTATAAAACTCCAACAACCACAAGTGGGCTGGGCGAGATTTTGGAGGTATGGTAATAAAAACAATGTCAAATTTTTTGCGTGGAAAGCAAAATACAGCGCTAATTACGCTTTAGAAAAATGAAATGCTGCAT